ATGACAGAACTAAGCATATTGAAGTTGACAGACACTTCATTCGAGAAAGAGTGGCTTCTGGAGAAGTGTGTCTACCTTTCATCACCTCTGAAGGACAGTTAGCAGATTTTCTCACCAAGGGCATTCCCAAGGCTAAACTTCAGCATGATACTGGCAAGCTTGGCATGATTGACATCTATGCTCAGTTTTGGTGATTTTGTTGTGGCTCAGATGGTTTGGCTTCTTGTTTGAGAGTTGGAGTTTGTTTTCTTTTTTCTCTTGAGTGACTTGTGGTCACTCCCCTTTTGTACTCTGTTTTTTTTTTTTAATAAATTTTATTTCTATTACCAAAAAAATGTTACTCTATGAATACTGTTGAGTGTTGACTGATATGACCTACATCCATACATTTTGATGATGGTTTCCCAAATTTGTACTTCTACAGAACTAGCAGCATCAGTCCCTCAAACAGAAATAGTGGGAAAGAGTGAGTATTTTCGATTTAGCATGAGGGATTCTCTTGCACTGGAGGCTTCTTTCTTGCAGGTCAGTGTATTTAGCCTTGTAAGTGGTGAGTGGTTTAGCTATTCTTTTCCTTCTATGAAAATCTTAACCTATTTATAGCAACTTTTATTGCACTTCTGCAGAGAGAAGAAGAGTTGTTATCAAGTTGGTGGAGAGAGTATGCAGAATGTAGTGAAGGTCCTAGCAGAAAAATCCTTGGTTCCAACAAATCAAAAGTGCAGCCTAAATCATGCTCTTCTGATAGTGGTCCATCAACCCAGTTATATCCAATTGAAGAGGAGAGAGTTGGTGTCCCTGTAAAGGGAGGTCTTTACGAGGTATTTTCACCCTCTTGCATGTTTTCCTACTTCTTATGATCTTTATGAGATTTATCATTGCCAAGTTGACAGTATCATACAGGCTACTAAGTTTTTCAGGTACCCTCCAATTCTTGTTTCTTCATATTGTTTAACTATGAGTCATATATATGTGTTTGATACCTATTCTTTCCTTCTTTAGTTTAAATATTTATAGTTGTTAATAAAAATTGTTAACTAATGTAAACTAAGGAAAATAAGAAATGACAATACAATAAAGCTGGTAAAATTAAGGAGGATCAACTTACAAGCCAAAAGACAGTGTCTTCTATTATGAATTGTGAGTGGCAGACAAAAGCATAGCATTGCTTATAAATGGTTACGGACTTTCCTATGGAGTCTAAGAGCTGTTGGCACTATATTGTTAGAAGCAACTATGGTCTCAATGAAAATAGCTGGGGTGTGGGCTCTGCAAGAACGTTTTCCGTTGGTATTCCTTGGCAGTCAATTGCTCCCATCCTCTCTCTTCTTGGTTTATTAGGTATTAGCTAGCTTTGTAGGGTAGGATATTTCCCCATTGTTGCATCTGGTCTCATTAAATTGGGTCATGATGTGTAGAGTCCTGCTGCAATTTTTTCTGAAACCAGGGCCGAATGCTTCCTTTCTTTTCAGGTTGTCTAGCTGGTCGAGTTCAGCTAAATGCATTTCCATTTAATATCCAGAGATAAGAGTGAGGAGAAGAGGGAACTTTCCATCCTGCTACAAGATGCAGAGAAGATCTGAAGATTGAAGGAAAGAAGCTACTGTTGTTATAAGGCAAAAGTAAGGATAGATATCGTTGAAAATCAGAGAAGGAAGAGCAACCATTAGTTTGATTGGAAAGCAACTCAGTGGCTGAAAGGCTTTATGGATGGGGCACTCTATGCTATTAAGATAGAGGGTTGGAAGAGATTTTTGGAATTACCAAGAAGAAGGTATCAAGTTGAATTGAGACGTAGTCAGAAGAGGTGGTTTGTAGCGGTGTCTGAATTCTTTGGCTTCAACAAAAAACAATTAGTTTGCATCCCAGAAGGCAAAAAAACCTTGGGATGGAAGCTGTTCGTGAAGAAAGAGATGGTTGATCTCAACCATCCATAAAGCTGATGGATCAATGTGGAAGGACGATGTGGTTAAGTCGATGGAGGAATTGATAGGGAGATTCTCGATATCAATAAAATTTGAAAACATCAAGGATGGTTTTATATGGGTACTCACCAATGTTTATGGTCCAAATAGATACTGGGAAAGAAATGAAATGTGGGAGGAATTCTATCCTACTAGGGGTTTATGGGATGGGCCATGGTGTGTGGTAGGGGATTTTAATGTTGTGAGATTCTCGAATGAAACAAACAACCCCAACCAACAGGTCACCACTAGTACAAGGAGATTCAATGATTTTATAGAGACTTGTGAGCTAAAAGAAATCCCCTTGTTGCAACTTTCAAGCCCGATTCACTTGGTCAAATTTTCAGGAAGTACCTCGATGCTCAAAATTAGACAGATTCCTCTTTAATGAACTTTGGGAATCCCATATAGGAAACTTGGTGTTGATAGCTTTACCTAGGGTCACCTTGGATCACTTCCCTATTAAGTTGGGCTTGGAAACCTTTGCAAATGTTCCTACCCCGTTTAGATTTGAAAACATGTGGCTTACACATCTAGACTGTGAGAAAATGTAGAGGTTTGGTGGAAGGAGGAGTTAAGAGGAGTGGAATCAAAAGGGGTGCGATTTCACAAAAAATTAAAGATATTGAGAGAGAGAGAGAGAGAATTAAGGAATGGAATATGGAGCAGTTTGGAAGAGTAGATAGATAGATTGATAGATAGATAGATAGATAGATAGATAGAGAGAGAGAGAGAGAGAGTTAAGGAATGGAATATGGAGCAGTTTGGAAGAGTAGAGGAACAAAAGATCACTCTCTTGTCAAAATTAGAGGAGCTGTATGAGAAAGAACCTAGGGGATTCTAGTTGCGGAGGAAAGAGCTTTAAGATGTAGGGTTAAGAAAGAGATGAAAGAAGTGCTTTAAAGGGAAGAGATTTGTTGGAGGCAAAAATCTAGATGCAAGTGGATTAAAGAAGGGGATGGTAATACAAAATTCTTTCTTGCCTTGGCGAATGGGAGGAGGAAAAATTATGTTGCTAGCTTAGAGATAGAATGGCAGGAGACAACCAATCGGGAGGAAATTGCTAAGATCTTTGTGGACCATTTCAAATCAATTTTTAGGAGGCCTTTGAATGAGAGAACGGGTGTGGTGGGAATTGAGTGGCCTTGTGTGAGACTAAGGTAACAAGTTGGTTGGAAAGGAATTTTGAAGAAGAGGAAATTTAGAAGGCAAATTTTTTAATGGACAAATCTAAAGCCCCCGAACTAGATGGGTTTACCTTGGCTTTTTACCAAGATTGTTGGGATATTGTGAAAGATGACTTAATTGAGGTCTTCAATGGATTTGTAGAAAAGCATATAATTAGCCCTGGGGTGAATGCAACCTTTCTAGCTCTTATTCCAAAGAGAACTGATGCTAGTCATCCAAAGGACTTTAGATTAATCAGCCTAGTAACCGGCATCTACAAGATCTTAGCCAACTCTTGTTGAGATTAAAATTAGTTCTCCCATCTGTAATCACTCAAAATCAAGGGGCTTTCATTGAGGGGAGGTAGATAGTTGATCAGATTCTAGTTGCTAATGAATGTGTTGAGGATCTGAAAAGATCAAGGAGGAAGAGTTTTGTGTGCAAGCTGGACTTGGAGAATGGATTGGACCTTCCTTATTGAGGTGATGAAAAATTGTGGGTTTGGGGAGAGATGATGCAAATGGATTTTAGGTTGTGTTAAGTTTTGCGACTATTCCATTTTGGTTAATGGGATTGTTAGAGACTTCTTTTCAGCTCGTTGGGGCTTAAGGCAAGGTGATCCTCTCTCACCCTTTCTTTTCACCCTAATAGTAAGAGACTTCTTTCCACCTAAAGTGATCCTCTCTCACCCTTGATAATTTACTTTACTTTAGGTGGACTTGCTACCGGAATGAAATGAAAAAAATTCACATGTCTAACCAGGAATATGAATTTGAGGATTCAATGGGTGGGGAGATAAGCAAATGGGATGGTGGATGCTTTGGCTAAGCAAGGGGTGAATAGGTCTATTTTATTCTAAGCAAACTTGTAATGGAATCAAAACAACAATACCCTTTTTATGTAGAGGCATAACCAAGAAAGATACACTTCCGAGCCTTGGGTTCAAACTTATGTCTCTTGGAGCTTGGAATGTGGACATAGCAAGTGTGACCAAAGACATGCAGAAGAATGGAGAAAACCTCAACACTGGGAAAGAGGACACCAAAAGGAGACTTTAACCCCGAGACTTGGGAAGGGATACAACTAATAAGATAAGTGGCTGTTAAAACTGCATCCCCCCAAAATTTCATAAGAACATGGATAGCAAAAAGTATACTCCTTGCAACTTCCACATTATGTTTATTTTTTCTCTTTGCTACTCCATTTTGCTATGGAGTACAGGCACAAGAACTCTGATGAACTACCCTAAACTTTTCAAGATAGGAAGTAAGGTCCTTTTAAAATATTCCTTAGTATTGTCTGATTGGAATATCTTGATGCGGGTATCAAACTGAGTGAGATATATTTATGGAATTGTTGCACAAGTTTAGGTACTTCAGCATGAGAGCACATAAGGTAGATTTAGGTATATCTTGAAAAATCATCAATAAACAGGATAAAATATTTGTAGCCACCCATACAAGGTAAAATGGTAAAGCCCCCACACATCAAAGTGAATAGTATTAAAAGGAATAGTCGATCTTTTATTGCTTGCAGGACAAGTGTTCTTACAATGCTTTGAGAACTCACAACCTTGTCCAAAAAGGGGAATGACATTAAAACCATTTGCCGACTGTCAGCAAGTCATTTCTAGTGATTCTAGTCCTACCCCCGTTCTTTCAGGTATGGGTGTCAATTCTGTTTTAGGTACGACTTGTTTGCTATGCCTGTAACAGATATCCCAGCTTCCCATCCAGGAGTTTCTGATGCAAGAGAGAGGGTGATAATGGAAGGAGGAGAGAGGGTGTTGGAAGGAAGCAGTAAGGGGGAGGCGGATAGAATTTGGGAGATGATCTGTACAATGATGGAGGAACAAAATAAAAAGGAAGGACTTGTAGAAAGATGCTATAGCCAAAATAAGTGTGAGAAAGGTAAAATTCTTTCTCAAACATTGGCTGGAAAGGATGGAGAAATTGGGAAGGGGGGGAAAAGAGGAACAAATAAGAAAAAAAGATCTGAAGTGGAAAGGCTAATTTCAGACATTGAGGGGGATTTAGAATTCAGTGGTAGAGGGGATAGGAGGAAGGGCCTAAAATGAGGAGAATATGGCCTCTTATTGGGTTTCTTTGCTATTTTGTATCGATGAAAATTATTAGC